GAGACATAGGTAGACTAAGATAAACATTTTTTATTGAATCTTTCTGTCTGTCTGTCTGTCTCAGTAAACCCTTTATCCTAGTGTCTTTATTAACTATCTTGGTTTGGTTTGGTTTGGTTTGTTTTACGGCTTATCAACCTTAATGGGTTATTTAATGCCGACAAGATTTTGATATTCTGACCCCGGGTCATTTTTCAAAAAAACATTGCTATTTATATTCAGGTCGTATATTGTCGCCAAATTTATTACAACGTTGTCAATCATGAGGACAATAGTCATAATGAAATTTGTACATAATATATTTCTCAGAAATATAGACAGGAACTAAAACATTTCTAGTAATATTTTTTCTTCAAAATCTCATTGCAGGTAAAATCTTTTGAAAAAAAATGTATTGCGGCTATTAAAATGTATTTTTTCCATTTTCATAGTTTAGACCCAAAGGTGCTAGTTAATTATTTACCCATAGCTGGGGCCAAACAGGTGCTACCACCCCGGGTCAGGGTTTACCTGGGAAAAACATTGATCAGGGATTTTTATCGTCATACCCTGGTTTCTTTATTATTTATACACACGTACGTAGTTTATATATGATATTTAATCAAAGATCTCCACGATTTCTCATTTTTCAAAAGCCACTATTTAGCAAAAAACTTAAAATATCAACACAAATCGATTTCAACAAAAGTAAACTCCTCTTTTATATCCCAACTTCACTCAATTGTAGCCAACAATAATTTGATTATTTAACAATTTAACTTGAAATTGAGTCCACCCAAAAAAGCCGCGTAAAAAAAATATTTTTATGGTTTCTTTCTTATTTTCGTTGATATTTCAACCAATTTTCATCAAACTTTGCTTTATAAATGTATCCTCTTTATATCCCTGGTAGCACACTGACAAATTGAATTTCAAAACTCCAAAATAATTGTGGTTTGAAGTGGGTCTTCATGTTGCCTGTTTTAATTCTACAATGTCCTGACTTCGATTGAATAAATAAAGAATACTATTTTATCAGTAACTGCATTAATTCAACATGTCTTTTATCATGTTTTTTACTTTAAAGTAATTGAAGAAGGTAGACTCTGTTACATCGAAACATGATGCTGTTTTTGCTCCTTTCTAATTGAACGCTTTTCCTAATCGCCCAGTTGGGTATGGCTGCTAGTCACAAATATTCCACTGAATAAATAATCTAGAGGTCTAGAATTATGTAAATTACTATAACTTACACGGATCAATAAGATTAAAACGATATTTTCTAGTGTACGAATAATTATGTACTTTCCTATGTTGCATAATTCGCTTGTCAAATTTGTTGTATTTAACCTATTGTTTTGAAAATTGACTTTTATATTCCTTTTCGGATGCTTATTAACATAACTGCAGGCATTAGATTTTGAGAAATGAACAAAATATTCACAAGTGATGGGTGTACGAATAATTTCGTCGTTGACACACACACACACACACACACACACACACACACACACACACACACACACACATATATATATATATATATATATATATCCAATAACCAACAATTACTATTACTATTCTTAAAAGAGTGCTCAATACAAAGTAGAGCAAATATAAATATTTATTTAAAAATTTATAACATAAACAAGTTATAAAATCACTACAAAAATAGCCATTTTGTTTCAACACTCCCAGTGTCTTATCAAGTGATGATGTTCAATGCAAAACAAATGGTTTTAAAAGTTTCAAATTAAATGGCTATTTTTGTAGTGATTTTATAACTTTTTTATTTTTTTAAATAGATAATTATATATATATATATATATATATATATATATATATATATATATATATATATATATATATGAAGAAATATCCTTTTAGGTGTGCTATATTTATGGCGTAAAGTGAACAATACCAAAGATAGAGCGTATGTAAATATAAAATGAAGTCAGCACTTAGAGCCTGTAAGTGTTGACGTCAGTGTTCACTTATATATATATATATATATATATATATATATATATATATATATATATATATAATGGGAAAAGATTTTAGTTATTCTAACAAGAGAAACTGTATATTTTTTTAAATAAAAGATAAACCGCGAAATCGTTTTTGGTTGAAATATGTATTTTTTTATAATATATATTATACTCTATTTTCCAATAATTCTGCTATACGGTTTTCTGGTTTCACGACCTTCTTCAAGCAAAGAGTAGATATTTCTACATATTATAAAAAATGAATTTTTTTCGTGGTAGTGATTAAAATGAATTCCATGGACTGGTGACAAGAGTTTATATATATTGCATAATATATATATATATATATATATATATATATATATATATATATATATATATATATATATATATATATAAAAAAAGAACAGTAAGATATATAATCCGCTATTCTTATTGATATTTTTATTTTATTTTATTTTTACAAAACAGTGCTCAATATAAATTTACAGAGCATAAATATTATAAATTAACTGATTGATAATATGCTTTCTTCGCTGCATAGTAATAACCATGTTGCAAAAACTGAAGCTAAAAACTTCAAATTTAATTATATAATTAAATTAAGATCATTAGTTCCGTTTCATCTTCAAGAGAATTTTGGAATATCTTATTTTTAAATTTACTGAGTTTTAAACGCACATAAAATTCATAATTTCCTGTTTCCAAGGATACAGAGAAATCCAATCATTCAGACAGGGGCGGTAGCGTGTTCATTTTTATTAACTATTGTTGTATCAAGTATGAGTTCTGTTCGAAAACGAGGTTAAATTTAGGGAAGGTAGGGGTGTATTTTCCAACGAATTCTGACATCCGTTAAATGCATGTCGTCTGGGATTTATTTTTTTATCATTAACGACAATAAGTTTTTCGTACTTGTATACTTAAAGATTCTTTCTAAAATTTTAAAATATTTTTACTCTTAATTACTAATAGACTTTATTTCTTTTTAAATCAATTAAATGTAATAGAATTACTTAAATTATTTAAAATTATTTTTTCATATCAAATATAAGTATGAATCTTACCAGCTCCCATTTCTAATTTTTTTTTATTTTTAAATATTTAAAGAAAATATGCTAAATTTGACAATTTACAAGGCACGAGACGCCTTCAATTTTGAGGCTTGCTTTTAAAATTGTAATAAAGAATAAAGTGTGTGATAGGAATCAATATGTATGGTGGGAAGATCATGAAAGCAACGAGTATAGATTACGATTGATCTTTGACTTGACAAGGTTAATATTGTATTATTCAGGGAAGTGCACACACAAGAGCTTGTTCTACATACGTTTTTACATATTGACTATTCTTGAGACAAAAATGCATTGCATTGATATATATATATATATATATATATATATATATATATATATATATTAATGATAAATACAAACAGAGGATATTGAGCCTAGGAATAGATAAACAGTACATGTGCGATTGTTTGATCGACCAGACGTTGTTCTTCCCCAAATGAAATAATGTTCTTCGCATGTTCCTGATTTTAATCAATTCCTTCGCGATTTGTACTCAGAAATATGGACAGATGTCGAGAATCAAATCATGTTTGACCAGGTGACCCATATTTGGCAAATATGAAGAAAAAACAAAAAGAAATTTAGTTTTTGTTGTTGTATTTCAAACGGCCGCCAGCGAAGAGAATCGACGTCCAATCAACTTAACCGCAGAAAGGAGAGAACAGACATACGTCAATAAGATATTTGACTACGCACAATTTGCATATAGATCAAATAGCACTGACAATATCTATCTATCTATCTATCTATCTATCTATCTATCTATTTCTCTAAAAATTTCTCTTTGTTGTCTTTTTTGTCTTACAAGTTCTATCTATCTATCTCTCTCTATCTATCTATTGCTCTAAAAATTCTCTATCTGTTGCCTTTTCTGTCTCACAAGATCTCTCTATCTATCTATCTATCTATCTATCTAAAATCTCTTGTTGTCTTTTTGTCTTATTCTATCTCTATCTCTCTCTATCTATCTTTTACTCTAAAAATTATTATCTGTTGCCTTTTTCTGTCTCACAAGATCTCTCTATCTATCTATCTATCTCTCTATCTCTCTCTATCCATCTATTGCTCTAAAAATTCTCTATCTGTTGCCTTTTCTGTCTCACAAGATCTCTCTATCTATCTATCTATCTATCTATCTATCTCTCTAAAAATTTCTCTTTGTTGTCTTTTTTGTCTTACAAGTTCTATCTCTCTATCTCTCTCTATCTATCTATTGCTCTAAAAATTCTCTATCTGTTGCCTTTTCTGTCTCACAAGATCTCTCTCTCTATCTATCTATCTCTCTATCTATCTATCTATCTCTCTAAAAATTTCTATTGTCTTTTTTTTGTCTTACAAAATCTCTATCTCTCTCTATCTATCTATTGCTCTAAAAATTTATCTGTTGCTTTTCTGTCTCACAGATCTCTCTCTCTCTATCTATCTATCTCTCTATCTCTCTATCTATTGCTCTAAAAATTCTATCTGTTGTCTTTTTGTCTTACAAAGATCTCTATCTCTCTATCTCTATCTCTATCCATCTATTGCTCTAAAAAATCTCTATCTGTTGCCTTTTCTGTCTCACAAGATCTCTCTATCTATCTATCTATCTATCTATCTCTCTCTATCTCTTCCTAAAAATTTATCTGTTGTCTTTTTTGTCTTATGTTCTTTTCTATCTCTTTCTTTTCTATCTATTGCTCTAAAAAAATCTCTATCTGTTGCCTTTTCTGTCTCCAATTTCTCTCTATCTATCTATCTATCTATCTATCTATCTCAAAATTTCTCTTCCTATTTATCTGTTGTCTTTTCTTTCCCACAGTTTCTTTCTTTCTTTCTTTCTTTCTTTCTATATATCTGTCTCAAAATTTCTCTTCCTATTTATCTGTTATCTTTTCTATCTCACAATTTCTGTCCTTCTTTCTTTCTTTCTTTCTTTCTTTCTTTCTTTCTTCCTTTCTTTCTTTCTATCTAATGCTGTTTTGCCTTAATGGAAACGCTTTCAAGGAGTTTTAAATAATAATTTGAATGTGACCTGCAGAGATCAGGAACATGTACTCTGCGTGGACACTCCCAGATTTGAATAAGCTGTATTGTCATTGTTCAAAAAGGTTATTCTCTTCGATCGAGTTCTAACTGGTGAGTAGCGATAACAAGTTTGCTTAACATTTTCTTCTTATTATTATTATTGTTGTTGTTGTTGGTTTTCCTTTATTTTCTTTTGATTTCTGGTGTATACTCATTTCTTTCCGGGTCCCAGTAAGAAACCTAAGGTTAGAAATAGAATGATGATATTTTTCACTGAGCATTTTTTTTTAAAAATTAGCAAAGAAAAAGAAAGAAAAAATTATACTAAAATCACACATATTTTACATACATAAACCCTTCACAATTTCTGGAAACCATTTTTTTGTATTTCTTTATGGAATGGTCTACCAGAAATCCCTTCAATGAGTCTAATAGAATCTTTTCTAATCAAACCGATACGTACATACATTGGAATACTGGAATTGTTGATGTTTTCGTGTGGCACATTTTTGAGATTTCGATTTCAAGATCCTTGTATTTCGATAGTTTTCTGAAGATCTTCGAAGATGCAGTGCAGTCTGCAGGGACTTCCATGAGAAGGACATTTTTCTACTTATATATATATATATATAAACAAGATGAAAACATACTAAAAAATTTAGTAAATTCTAATATATCAACTACAGATCCTAGCGAAAAAATTAAATTAATCATATACTACACTAAATCTAGTATATCCAACTTAATACTTCGCAATGATTCTTCTCCCCGGTTAGCGATTTGCAAAAACCAACATAGTTTATAAATTCAAGTGCCCTTTGGGAGAGTGTATCTCCAACGAATTAAATAATATTTATGTTGGTCACACCACAAACTCGCTTTCACGACGCTTGACACTACATTTTAATGAAAACTCCTAAGATTTTTAGGCATTTAAAACAACATGCCTGCCCGCACACACAATTCCGTAAAATACTTGTCGAAAACACAACTATACTTCGACATGAAAACAATAGACAAAAACTAAAAATACTTGAAGCATTATACATCAAACAGTTAAAACCCAACCTAAACAAAATCAACTATGGAATCTCTACAAATATTCTTAAATGTCTATAATTTCTATAATTGGTAACAGAAGCCATTGGTTTATACCAACGGCTTTCCTTACTTCATTCTACAATTCACTCTCGTGTAGTCATGTGTGACGTCATGAGATGCTGTGCGATTTTCGCTTCTAGCGTCTTATATGCGCGTGTTTATCGTTGCTTAGTGATTAACTATGTAAACAATGACAGACTATCATCACTGTCGTGTCCGTATATTGTTTAATATGTTTGTGATTTACATCTTTGATAATGGCTTAAGTAAGCCGAAAGCTTAGATTATATTAAAAAAATATGGATCAATATTGTGAATTTCTTTCTTCGTTTAATGATAATGTTATCAAACTTATCAGATGTTATGAATAAATTTTACATAAAATAAATAGACAACACTTGTCTATATTATTTAATGAAACGTATATGTATAAATGAAAATATGCTATATAAATATATATAATATATATATATATATATATATATATATATATATATATATATATATAGTCTCTAATCACGATTTCTGGGCGATTAGCTTAGATTATTCTGTCTGTATCTATTGTAAAGTACCATAAAATCTTATCCCCGTATCCGGGTCTATGTGGTGTCCATACCATTTTCTTGCAGTTTCCTTTCAGTAAAAGTTGCAGATGATATTCCAATGCAGATATTGAACCAATCTGTTATGCCTGGTTTCATATTCATTGAGTGCCAATACCGTTCAACCTAGTGCAATATGGTTAATCGTTGCTGGATATTTATGACAGAATCTGAATTTTTGGCTAATATAATTACTCAGTATGTGTGATTGGTGATATCTAGTTAGCAAGCATGGGTCCTGTGCAGCAAGAATAAAACCTTCGATTTCAGTTCTTAACATTGCACTCTGTAGCCACTGATGGGTACGGTGTTTGTCGACATCAGCTTGTTTGGTGCAGGAATAATTTTGACCGCGAATAGGTTTATCTTGCTATCATGTCCTTATATGATCCATTACATTTGCCTTTGCTTTCTTTTTTTTACAGCTGCTGTAGGTGTGTTATGTACTTTCTCTTCTCCTACTTGAAACTCCATTTTGACCTTGTTGGCTTCCTGTATTACGAAATAAAGTTTCTTACTTCTTTCATGTTCTTTGACACAGATCATCATCCAGTCTTCTGTAGTTCCCAGGTATCTTTGAAGGCCAATTGTTGTAGATTTGTAAGACTGTTCTAGCTGAACTAATCCTCTGCCGTCTTCGGATATTGAAACATACAGAAGATCAATGTAAGCCATGGGATGATGCATAGGGTGTCCAGTGAGAAACTTTCTCGTTTTGGCGTCCGTGATGTCAGCTATGATCCAATTAAAGACGTTGAAATTGTATTGTACAACGAGGACAACCATATGTTTATGAATATATATATATATATATATATATATATATATATTTATAAGTTTTAACGTGTGCTATATTCATGGGATAAAGTGCTCAATATCAGAGATAGAGCATATGTAAATATAAATATAGAAGTCAACACTCAGAGTCAATGTTCACTTATATATATATATACATATATATATATATATATATATATATATATATATATATATATATATATATATATATATATATATATGCGTGTGTGTGTGTATAATTCAACTCAGTATTCAATTATTATTATTATTATTATTATTATTATAAAAAATACATTTATATCGTTAAATTAACAGCAATCTCTTTTATAGAAAAATTACCAACAATACATTTTATAGTAAATATATCAGCAATGGATTTTATCTTGAAGGAAGTTGAAGGCAGAAAATTGCGTTCAAGATACGTAGATTTCTGCATAGAGGAAATTTAAGCTGTTAATATATTTATAAATATATATAAATAGCTTAAAATCTTCTTCGGAAAGTGAAAAAGAAGTAAGTATTGCTAAAAAATAATTTTACTCATAAAATGACAGAAAACATCTGTTTTATTGGGAACATTGATAAAATGGCTTTGAAATGTCCGTCCTATTAACGATGACTTATACTGACCATGAAGAAGTGATGTTTAAAGGTACACGCAATTCTATTAAGGGTGAAAGTGTATACAAGATGGTGTCTTTCTGTCTTATTTTTACGTTTATTTATCTTTTTTTCTTTATTCTTTGTTGTATTTTTATAAGATTTTTTTTTATTTCATCATCCGTTTCGTTTATTTTCAAATTAAATATTTCTTTTTTTCTCTCTTTCTGTTTTTTTTCTAATTTCTTTTTAAAAAAATATCCTCATTTTTTTTTAGCTTGTTGAATTCCCTATTTATTTTATTTTATTTTCCAACTCTTTCTTTTCTCCGTCTTCCCACTTCATAACTGCTTTTCTCTGAATGCCTACTTATTACGAACATTCTTTATTCTCTCAATTTATTTTCTTTTTCGTCCATTTTACTTCCATTCTAATTTTCTAAATTCTCTAATTCGCCTTTCATTCTACCTTCTCTCTTTTGCCCGTTCCTCCAACACAAACCTTTTCGCAAACTATCTCCTTATTCCGATAACCTAAACTGTTCTCTCGCCATACCGACTTGCAAACGGCCTTTAGAAAATCTTCTGCCCTCACTTCTTCCTCTATAAATTTCTACCATCTCACTTGCCTATCTTCAGATCACTATTTTACATTTTTCAACACACACGCATTCATTCTCCCGGAGGAAATTACAGTGGCCAAAAATCGACCAAATTTCTTGCTAGTAGTTTGGAAGCTGTTAAATATCAGTGGCATGGCCAAAACGCTTTATCAATGACGTCAGATCGGTCACTAACACTTCATCCTACGTGAACAATCAAAATCAAGCCGAATAATTGGTCAACCCTGAAACTCTGAGATGTCCTAATGAAATTTATTCGTCATAGACAGCTATTACAAAAGTTTGAAACCATTGCGTCAGTAAGTTACATGAGGAAAAATTGATGACCTCCAGATTTTCCAAATGGGGCGTACTGGTCTTTTTTTTTTTATAATTTGTTATCGAACCCTGATGTCTAAGAACGGAGGGAAATAAGAATTGATTACACGAGGGAGGGGCCTTCTGGCTCATTTTAGTCGTTTATGTAGCTCCTAAATTTAGAACATTAGGAAACACGTCTAAGTATCAGGGAGTAGAGGGCGAAAGTTATGCTACCTAAATTTACAATTTGGAGGAGGTAATAATTTTTTTTTTTTTTACCCGGCCCAGGAAATTAGGTTTCGAAATAATGTCGAGAAGGCGAATTTTATTTAGTTAATTCCCTTATGACCACACACACACACACAGACACACACAGAAACACACACAGACACACACACACAGAAACACACACAGACACACACACATTGATACACGCACACACATATATATATATATATGTATGTGTATATATATATATATATATATATATATATATATATATATATATATATATATATATATATATATATATATATATATATATATATATATATATATATATATATATATATATATATATATATATATATATATATATATATATATATATATATATATATATATATATATATATATATATATATATATATATATATATACAAAATGCGGCCAATAACTGACATTTTATGCGTTATCACGCAATTGACAGGCAAATGTAGCTGTACCTTGTAAATGGGTATTTTATTTTTATATTCTCATATATATATATATATATATATATATATGAAGAAATATAGTTTTAAGGTGTGTTATATTTATGTGATAATATCAGAAATAGAGCGTATCTAAATATATATATGTGAAGATTGAAGTCAGTCTAACGATTACGTCTAGCATGAAACAGCCTGGTGTCTCTGAGTGTCG